CCATTTTTCATTGGAAATTAATGCATCATATTAGTGAGATAATCTGGAGTCAATTTGAATGAAAAAAAAAACAAAAAAACCAAGAAAAACACAGAACTGTTGTGGACTGCAGTTAAAGTGAGTTTAGCAGAGTAAATATACACTAGAAGGGGGGAAAAATGATAACCAACCCCAAACTCTAGCACTGAATCCTCCAGAAAGTAATCAATCTTCAATGAAACTATGTCACATAATTAAATGTTAGCTTCTGACTTAGCCTCCTGTTGATTATTTCCTCCTTCAAGTAGTAAGGACCTGATAGAGAAGGGCTAAGTATCCACAAATGCCACTGAAATTGGTGACTGAACTGTTGTTTGCCCTCCTTCAGCACACAGGCTTTATCCACATTGCCTTTTTCCTTGTTGGACAGTGAGCACAGGGGAAAACATGTGCTTTTCTTGGCTTGGCATATCCTTTGTGTAAATTAAAGGCTGTCTGGAAGTGTGCAAGAGGTGTTTGGATGTGGCATTTGGGTGTGTGGTTCAGGGTGATTGTGGTGGTGAGGTGTTAACAGTTGTACTGGATGATCTTGAAAGTCTCTTCCAGCCTGGATGATGCTGTGTTTTGTAATAGTGCCATGATGTGCACTTGAAGTTTTCTGCTTAAATGCAAGGAAATGCTCTGAAGTTGAAGATTTATGTCATTTTATAAAAAAATTGGAAAATAGGGCTATTATGTTACCCAAGTATATTTTGACTCATTTTCCAGTATGATATTTTTTCCACCCCAGAACCCAGATTGCGTTGTCCAGATAAGGCACGTTGCTTGAACTAGGTTCATACAGGTTTGAGCACATAGTTCTGTGCCCCAGTTCAGGTGAACTCATTCTTCTTGCCCAGTGCTGTAAGCTTAAAAACTTCATTAATTTGGAAATAATATGGAAATGAATGAGATGGAACAGCCCTGAGATGGGTTTCAAGAGGCAGAAACATTTCATCTTTCCAAAACCCACCTTGTCTTCCTGCAGGATAACAGTCTCCAGCAGAAAGGTGTCACTCCCTGCTAGTTTAGACTTTACACTCCCAGGCAAGTGGATAGATGTCCCCAGGTGGAATAGAAGACCATGCCTTAAAAATCCTAGCAAATCAGCAAGTATTGGAAAGCTGTATCACTCTGTGGATGCAATACTTGGGCAATCCATTACTGTGGGGCTTCCTAAGTTTGATTTTCACTTACTTTGTGTGACCTTTAGTAAAAGCTTTCTGTGGGAATGCTTCCTGAGTAAGTCCATGCTAAGTAGGAGGTATCAGAGGTGAGAGAGGTGTAAGTGGCCAGTTTAGTGTGTCTTTGCTGGTTAATATTTGTTGGCTGGCTGGTGGTGGCTGACAGCATCAGCAAAGCCAAGCCTGGAGTCATAAAGCCATCGTGATGGTGCTGTGTGGTGGCTTGTCCCAAAGCCCACAGTTACTCATGTGGGACAACTAACCATAGCTGGACTTAGAGGGGGTAGAATGACATGAGATCAGGGGTACTGCCTAGTGAGGCAATGATCTTAATTATGCTGTTGCTTTGGTGAAATGGTGTTAAGAAGCAGTTTGGAGACCACTGTGATAGCTTGGTGGTATTTTCATGGAACTCCAGTCCTGGGAGGATGGGTGGGTGGAGACTATAAGAAGATACACGCTTGTAAGATCAGCTTTGAGAGGGGTGCAATTAACTCCCTGGCTTTTTGCATCTGAGTCACAAGCCACACTGTGCTGAGCACACCAGAAACAGTGAGCGGCAACCTCAAGCAGTGTTCTTGGAAAGGATTTGTGGTTAAGGGGTTTTTTTGGCTAAGATTTTTTTGGTTTGCTCGCTTTGACTGTTTAGCCAGCCTTTGACCTTATATTTACATGAACCAAACTATGCTGTTTGTTTTGAAAACTGGAGCAGGTAGGTTGGCTGCTGTTCACAAGGGTTTTCTTCAGAGCAGGAGCCCCAATTTCATTAGAGAGCACAGTTTGGCAGCAGAGCCAAGCTGAGCTGCAGTCTTGCACTGCTGTCTTCCCTGTGGCTCTCCCAGTGCATGTGTAGAGCTGGCGTGTTTTAAATCCTGCTCCTGGAAATATCTTACTCTGAGTAATCAGATATCAGTGGGATTTGGTCTTCTCAGTCACCCACTATTTTTTAAGAAGTTTTCCTGTACAGTTAGGCAACCCAGTGTACACCTGAGGAGGATAGAGCTGAATTCAGCTTGTATCACACACCACCAGCTCCTGGTCAGTTGTAAACTGCTCACATAGAGAGCACAGGACAGACCTTGTGCAAGTTCAAATGAATTCCTCAGTTCCTCTGGAACCTACAGCCTTTGATTGGGCCCTAAGCATGGCTGTGTGACACACGAAAAATATCCTTTGCCATACCTGATGACAGTGATGGGTTTGTGTGTACATTTCTCTCCTGTTTTTCAGCTGAAATGGTCAGTATTTGGCATTTTGCTGTCTTTTCTTGGTTAAGGATGTTCCACCCCTACCCAAAGTTCCACAAAAGTTAAAAAAATTACCCAACTGTATATATGAATAATAGGGATTTGTGTTGTTGGAAAAGAAAAGCAGAGATGGCAGGGCTCATGATGTATTAAATGCAAACACAAGGAGAATCAGGTGTTCAGTGCAAATATTCTCTGAAATCATAAACAAATGCTTTGTGCAAATTCTAGGTAATAACATCAGGTTGGAGAACAGTTTGGTTCATGGCTGATGTTGAAAAATACAACACGGAATGACTGAGTCAGGCAGGCTGATGCTTGGGAATGGGATCGTTTGTTTTGTGTGGTTTTGGATTTCAGAAGGAGGCCTGCCTGCTGCCAGTGGGATGTGATATTTTTGAATTTGATTTTGGACATAGGATTCTGAAAGTCAAAAGGGTATTTTGAGGGAGTATTGCCAGGATGTGATAGGCAAGTAGAATGATGGGGTGCAGTTAATCAATCACATGACAGGAATTTTAGTGTAACTTTCCTTTTTGAGGTTGTTTGAGCATCCTTAATAAAAGGATGCCCACTGTCCACATGTGACAGTACAACCAAATTTAAAGCAGCTTGGTCATTATTTGCCATTAGATCAGATGCCCATAAAACAGACATCGTGTTCCTTGTTTGAGCTGGCAGGGAAGAAATTGGATGGTAAAAAGGAGAGGTTCAGGGTATTTGCTAGTAGCATGCCTGTTTTGCAATCATATAATAATACCTGTTGTTCCTGTTGATAATGAAGGATGTTGTGCCCCTAAACTCATAATTTGTGAAGAAGAAGATGAGAGAGTTCATTTTCAAGCAGTTCTACAGAAGGGAAAGTAACTGAAGGATGATGGGTTGTGGATGATGTCAGGCTCTTTGTCTATAGGGCTGCAGAAGTTGCTGTAGTTTAGTCCTGTGGCATTTCTTGTTGATTGTGTTCTTCTTGTGAGTTCCCTTTCTTAATAAACATAACATCCTTTTGGCTTTGCTTGTAGAGTGCCCTGCATTTCAGGGGATCTCACCTCTTACTATTCAGCAGCTGTTTCCACACAGCTCTTCTGCTTTGGACACTGCACAGAAGTGTCTTCCTGCGTTCAGAGTGGCTGTTTCCTTCTTGAGCCCTTCTTCCTCAGACACTTCATGAAGGAATGCAGAAGTACTCTTGACCTGGGTGCAGGCAAATATTTCCTCACTTCCTGAATAGCCTTGCAGTTTGGCTGAGCTCTCAAAAGCTCAGGTTGAGGAGGAGCCTCACACTTACATGTAGGACATCTGCATCCCATGTCATGTCTGTTGTGTGCCACACTGTCCATAGGGCTGTGCTAGACAAGACCAGGCATTAGGTCTGCGATGCTTACAAGTGCTTTTTGCCTAGGAAGAGTGCCCAAGCTGTTCTTGCTGTGGCACTGAGACCATCACTGGAATGAGATTTAATGGTATTTTCTGACTGATTTTTGAGGGTGTGTCTGCTTGGATCCATGGCTGGCACAAGGAGCTACAGCTGCTGGAGCTCCTTGTGGCACCACCAACGTGCCAGCTGGGGGAGTGAGTGATTTGGGATTCCAGCATTGCATCAGGGTGTTGTGAGGTGGCTGTTTAATATGAATTATCTCATGGAATTGTACAAATGGCTAAGAAATTGGATGGGGGTAGAGAAAACAAGAGTTCTAAGTGCCTTAGATAAGACTGCTTCTTGCAGACCTTAGTCTGGAAGAAGCTTTTACTTCACTCCTTGAAGCAGCATTTTGTGGTGCCACCTGGAGGGATGTTAATATGGCAATTGGTGGGCCAATTCTCACTCCAGCAGGAAAGGAATTGGCTATTTGGAAATAAAGTACAAAGTTTGAAGGTTAAAATTTATTCTCAAGCAAAACTCTGCTGTGTTTGTCAGTATTACCAGCAGAGGAGCTTCAGGCTGCAGTTAAATGGCAACTGCCATTTAACTGGTATTTTGTGGATGTGGGCACATGTGTAAATGGGATTTCAGAGCATGTATCAAGTGTTTTGAACTTTGACTACCCTGTGTTTGCTTCAGAAAATGCAAACCACTCTTTTGTGAGAAGTAATAAGAAGGTTTATACAGCAAAAGAATGAAAGGAATATTCTTATTAATAAGGAAGACCTAATTGGCATCTGCCATTTTTTGTGGGACAGTGTTAAGGATACTAACTAAAGTGTGTTTTAACTAATATCTTATAGGTTTGGTTTATAAATTTATATGTGCAAAATAACCAACTTATGTTATTCAAACTTTTTTTTTTTTTAATGACAAAATAAACTACTACTTTTCAGGATGTGGAAACTAACATTTTACCAGCATACTGAGTGATTTGTTTCTCTACTAGTTTGGTGTATTTTTTTGTGTTATTTTTATTAAGTCAGGAGAATTTTATGTATGTCTTTTGCAGATTGAAAAATCTGGTTTAAAACCAGATTTCTTACTTCCTCGTGTTAATTAAACCACTCCTTATTTTATTTGCGCTTCCAGTAGTTTTAATTTCTATTATTTGTTTTTGTTTTCCAGGTCAGATGTACAATTGCTTGTAAGTATCATTCTGTTGCTTGTTTTTTTTTTCCTGTTTGTTTGTTTTTTTAATATAACTCTCCTTATCTTAGTTGATTTTAAGAAAGATGAAGCAGTATCAGCAAAGCATTTTTAAAAAAAAAAGCTTCCTAGAAAGAATTTTTAGAAACAGCAGTTAAAAATATATACTCAGTTATTTTTGTGACTGTAATACCTGCAATGCATTTAGGGATATTTAAAAATATAAATCTGTATTTAAATCCCTTTGCTTTTTCAGTTTGTAGAGATTTCCGGTAAAATCAAGTACAGGTGTAATGTGCTTAGAAAGATGGGAAAATATGCTTAAAGGCAATGAAAACCAAACAAACCCCATAAACAAATGGCACACAAAGTGAAATTCCGTTTAGAAATGCTGTCCTGGCCAAAATAACATATTTTCATGTGGCAGAAATTTCTGAAAGTGTGTGCAGATAAGTTCTACCTTAATACTGAACATCAGATTTAAATGAGTTAGCCTTTAAATTTTAGGGTCTCAATCAACGCTTTCTGTGCTGTAGCCTCTAAAATTGATGTAATATTTTTGGCTCTAGATATAGAACCATGTCTCTTCCTTACTGGGGGAACACATTGTGGAAAAGTGAGAGGGGAAGAGGGGAATATGCTTAGAGGGAGAGACAAAATGCCAGGTTAAACAAAATTTCTGATAATACATTAAGAAAACACACACATGGAGTGTGCCTGCAAGTTGTTTTAACTGCTTTCAAACAAAACTGTACTGAAAAGAAAGGCCATAATAGCTTTCATCCAAACCATGTGTAGAGTCAGTGAATGGCTGAAATTATGTGGCAGTCACTTGAATCTAGTTCAAATAATCTCACGGAAGATAAGAGGTAAAGCCAGGAAAAGTGGTAAAACCAGGAAATGTGCAGTGAGGTTTCTGTAGAACTGGGAAAACAGAAGTGACTGAGGGTCTGTGCATGATGTCTGTAACTGGCTGTACTTCTGCAAATGGGAATTTCAGGAGTATTGTAAAGACACAGTTTTGTGTTCTTTCAGGCACTGAGGACTGCAGCTCAAAAAATGCAACTACAGAACCAGCAACCAGTAGTAATGATGGTTTATCAGTAAACTCTGCAAGTGGGAACAGAACCTCTGCAGGTGGAAGAGTGGTCGAGGCTGCATCACTAGCTGATGAGACAAGAGGTGATCTAAGCACTGTAACATGTTTGTGGTTTGGAATGTGACTGGGATGTGAATCTTTGGGGTGTTTGCACTTCTATATCATGATTGCACTAGTTCAGTATTGCAAGGGCATGAATCCAGCTGCTTTGCTGCAGAAGAGAATGAGGCCAAGAAATGCATCTGCACACCTGACTGGGAGTGCAGTTTCATGCTGTGATTGCAGCATGGCCTTGGAATAGTTTTATGCATGTTAGACTCAGACTCCCTTCCCTGCTCATTATGGCTTTTTAGGTAACAGGTTAATAGTTCAACTCTCTGTGACATAGAGATTTGAAATGCATAAGTGATGGGGTACAGCAGCTCTCCTCTGCCTAGTAGAGAACATTGTGTGTCACAAATGTACAGGACAGGTGTGTGAATCTTGCTGCTAGAAAGGCCCCTCTATTTGGGATATCCAGTTTATGAAAAAAAAATGACAGCGTGTTGTGTGTTGCAGTCTTTGTGAGCACACTGCATAAAGCTCACAGCTGAGGCACAGAAATCACTGCTGCACCTAGACAGCTTTTCTGCTTGAGGTGAAGTGAAGCTTGAGGAGCTGGAGTAGATACCAGAGTTTGCAAGTGTGCCCTGCAGTAGAGAAAGGTGGCTTGATTGTTTTCCCAAGCTGATTTTTGTTTAACAGAGACTGGATATGGCAGGGAGGAGAGCGCTATATGTGCTTGTTGGTCAGCAAATATTCATGTAACTTAATTTTTTTTTCTCTTTTCATAGGATCCAGTGTGATTTATAATCTCAAGGCAGAATCCATTGGTGTGACTAATGTCACCTTAAAATGGGTGGTGAATGATAGCGCTTCTGACACCTACACATACAGGATAGAGGTTGTAAAAGGTACAAGTGATACACCTGAGAAGATTGTGAAATCCAATGACACCAGAGCAGAAATTACTGAGTTAATCCCTGGGACACCGTACAGCTTCACAGTATTTGCTGTAGCAGCTGATGATAAGACAGAAGGAGAAGGAAGTCCCATACACCTGTGTACAAGTAAGTCACAAGTTTTTTTCATCCCTATTGCTGGTGGTGTGTGCTTTGATGTGCAGGCCTGAGCTTTGCCTGCCTGCCTTAGGTTGTAATTTAATAGGAGCCTTACCTGGACCAGGTAATAATAGCAGCCTTTAATAGGAGCCTCACCCGCTAAAAATGCATGGTTCCTGTATAGAAGAAACATAGCCTTGATTCACAGCATCTGCTGTAGTAGCTGATAATGAGACAGGAGGAGGGGGAAATTCCACAGACCGGTATACAAGTAAGGAAATGGTGGACAGCTCAAAGCTCTTCCTGACTGCTTGAGGGCTAAAATGTAAAGTTGTTGTATGTATAGATCGGATGTCTTATTACTGGAGCCTAGTCTGGAATGTCTAATAAGCAGTGGGGTCTTTAGGTGTGGAAGAAATACATCCTTGGTTTTAAAAAGAAAATCCAGGCAAACATAAACCACCCTGCTTCCTCTTCATCTTTGTCCTCGTATCTCTTTATATGGGAGATAATTTCTTGTCACAAATAGTGAGCCAACTAGGAAGGTTGCCCTCCTAGAGTTGGTATTTTTTTAATAGAGTCAGACTCATGGGACTTGGTAGGTGTCTGACTTGGCTATGGCAATCATTAAATGACTAAGTTTGAAATTTACAGTGTAATGAATGAAAAGAGACAGCAGAGTTGCTCTCCTGGAGTCCAAGAAAGTTTAAACTGTTCGGGGCATACTTAGCAGCCTACCCTGGGAATCTGCTTTTCAGGGCTTAGGAATCCAAGTGTGCTGTTCAGTTTTTAAAACCACCTTTTAGAAGCACAGGAACAGGCAGTTTCACTATGTCAGAAGTCAAGCAATTGGGGCAGAAAACGAGCTTTAGTGAACAGGGAACTCCTTGTGGAGCTCCAAAGCATGAAGAAATTGTATGAGCTCTGAAAGTGAGGTCAGGCCTCTCAGGGGGATTACAGAGCTGTGGTTTGAGGAAGACACCAAGGGCCAGAGCCCAATTACAGTTGAAACTGGCCAGTGCTGTTTCAGATAACAAGAAAGGCTTTTTGAAGTACATTAATAGCAAGGGGAGGTCTAAAGAAAACATGGGACTGATCCTTGAAGATGATCACCTGCCTAATAGGGATGAAGAAAAAGCATTCAGTGTGTCAGTTTTTGGTGACGCTGATAAGCCTTGGTGTGCCTGATCCCCAGAGCTGGAAGCCCATGAGAAATGGGACAGTGGCTTTCCCCTTGTGGCCACTGGAACTGTGAGGGACCACCTGTATCAGCTGAATGTTCACAAGTCCATGGGGCCTGTTGGGATTCATCCCTGAGTGCAGAAGGATCTCACTGGTGTTACACAGGACCCCTCTCCATCAGCTACCAAAGGCCGTGAGAGCCTGGGGAGGTCTCTGCCAGCCACTGTTATTCCTATTTACTAGAAGGGTGGAGGAAAGACCCAGGAGCCTGCAGGCCTGCTAGACCAACCTCAGTTCCTGGAAAAATTATGGAGGAGATTGTACTGAATGCTGTTAAAAGGTATTTGAGAACAATGCAGTCATCAGGTATCATCGACATGGGTCACAAAGGGAAGGTCCATTTAATTAATTCAATCTTTCTATGGTAAGGTCACCCACCTGGTGGGGAAGGGAAGGTGGTGAATATAGTTTTTCTGACTTTTAGTGAGATTTTTGGTACTGACCCTCACAGCATCCTTCTGGACAAGTTGTCCAGCTGTGGGATAAGGGGGTTCATGGTGTGCTGGTGCAGAGCTGGCTGCAGGGCAGGGCTCCCAGGGTTCCAGTGAGTGGGGCTGTGTCTGGATGGTGAGCAGTCACCAGTGCTGTCCTTAGGGCTCAATCCTAGGGCTGTTCAACATACTTGTCAAAGGTATGGATGCAGGAGTTGAATATGTACTTGGTGCAGTTCTGGGCCCCCAATTGAAGAAGGATGTGAAGGTCCCTGAATGCCTGTAGTGGAGGGCAGGAACGCTGGTACAAGGGCTGGAGTGCCTGTCCTGTAAGGAGCAGCTAAGGGCTTTGAGCTTATCTAGTTGGGACAAAATGAGGCTGAGGGGTGACTTCATTGCTCTCCTCAGCTTCCTGACAAGGGGAAATGTACAGGGAGAGGCTAATCTCTATTCTCTGGTGTCCAGGGATATGATGAGTGGGAATAGTTCAAAGCTGCCTCAGGCTTGACATTAGGAAGCATTTCTTCACTGACAGAGGATTCAAACACTGCAATAGGAGATGATCAGTGCCCCAAGCCCTTCTGTGTTTGAGACATTTGGACAATATTCTCAGTAATACCCTTTAACTTTTGGTGAGGCATAAGGTGGTCAGGTACTTGGATGAGGATAGTTGTAGGCCTCTTTTAAGTAAATATTCCATTCCACTCTGTCACTTTCCTGCCCACCTCTGGATTCCCAAGGGAAGCCTTAGGAGTTCAATCACTATAATGGCCTCTGCTTATGTTTTGGGGTGTCAAAGGGAGATGAATGCCCCTCAGATTTTTCTTCAGTTCTCTTTTAGCTGCCCAGTGAAGCCCTGGTGTGGCTGTGTTTTTGTGTCCATGTCTGTGAGCACCTGTTCTTGCAGGCTGACAGGTTGTTGTCTTGTCTTTCACAGGGCCCAGCCAGGTTCTTGATCTCAAGGCAGAATCCATTGGTGTGACTAATGTCACCTTAAAATGGGTGGTGAATGACAGTGCTTCTGACACCTACACATACAGGATAGAGGTTGTAAAAGGTACAAGTGATACACCTGAGAAGATTGTGAAATCCAATAACACCAGAGCAGAAATTACTGAGTTAATCCCTGGGACACCGTACAGCTTCACAGTATTTGCTGTAGCAGCTGATGATAAGACAGAAGGAGAGAGACGTTCCATACACCTGTGTACAAGTAAGGAAATGGTGCCTCCGATTTCAAGTAACTGTGCTGTTTGTACCAAATTGCTCTGCTTTCTTACTTTGGGTTTCCAGATTTGTCCTGGTTTTTTTTTTTGTGACATTGCTTTTTTGCTCCAGCTATTTACATGCATGAATGCAGCAGTCTTTGCAAAAGGACTGAAATTGTCTGTGCTTGCATGTGCCTCCTGCAAATCAGTTATTTCATCAGCATGTCTGCTCTGGACTATGTTGAGATCCAGCTGCTGCACAGCATGACTTCTCCTAGATACTTGAGGGCTGAGTAGACCCCTCACACACCTCTGGGAGTGGGTTGCCACAGCTTGTACCAAAAGAAGTGGTATGCAGGGATGTGGTGCCATGGTCACCAAGGCTTTTATTTCTTAAAAATTATTTTGATCTCTTTGCAGTGTCTGGGGTCTGAGGTTCCTGTGGGCTGTGACTGACTCACTTCCTAGGGTTGCATTATCAAGTGTGGTGCCAATCTTGTTGGCTTTTTGCCAGGGCACCTTTTTCCCAGACTAGTTAGATGGGATAGGAGTAGACACTACTTCTGTGTGTAGCTCAGAAATGCAAAGAGAACAGGCAATGTCCCTACAAAGCAGTTTAGAGGAATGTGTCCTGGAGCTGCTACTGAGCTGATAAAATTGTCTAAGCTGCCTGAAATGAGTTTTATTGGTCTGGAGTTGGTGCTGAGTCGGGCTTGCAGACACATCCCCCTAAAGTATGCCAGCTGTTGGACCTTTTCAAGCAGCCCATTTCTTTTTCCTGGTATTGAGGAGAGTTTAGGCTGAAGGTCTCAAATTCAGACTCATGGGCACAATTTTGAGTTAACAGACCAAGATCAGCTTGGACTTTTCCTTTCCTGATTTCCATTTGTTTCTCTGTCTGGAAAACCACTGTGGAAACAAGTAATTGTTGCATATGGAATGAAATAGAATATCCCCCAAAGCTCCTATGACCTTTCCAGAGTTGCCTCAGCGTGAATGCCAGAAACAGGGAAGTGACACTTGGCTCCAAGTGATGCTCCTTCTGTGTGGAATAGGGAAATGTGGCTGTGGCTCTTCTTTATTTCTTTTTTTTTGATAGGTTGTTGCTTTGCCTTTTACAGAGCCCAACCCAGTTCTTGATCTCAAGGCAGAATCCATTGGTGTGACTAACGTCACCTTAAAATGGGTGACGAATGACAGCGCTTCTGACACCTACACGTACAGGATAGAGGTTGTAAAAGGTACAAGTGATACACCTGAGAAGATTGTGAAATCCAATGACACCAGAGCAGAAATTACTGAGTTAATCCCTGGGACACCGTACAGCTTCACAGTATTTGCTGTAGCAGCTGATAATGTGACAGGAGAAGGAAGTCCCATACACCTGTACACAAGTAAGTCAGAGTTTTTTGCATCCCTGTTGCTGGTGGTCTGTGCTTTGCTGTGCAGCATGAGGCTCTGCCCACCCCTCCAAGGTTGTAATTTAAGACTGTTGCAGGCAGGGGTGATGATTCCATCTTGGAGCTGGAGATAGCCAATCTCCAAGTATTGGATGTTAGTGTAAAAGCAGAATTACCCTGGTAGAAAGCTGTTAGTAAAGCTTGATGTCAGCCAAGAAAAGAAATTTTCCCTGAGCACTGGTCTCTTGCAAATTTTGGCAAGGGGCATTTGCATTTGTTTCCTAGAGTATGGGGGCCTGAGAGTCTCATTTTAAGGCACTCCCACCAAGAGCATTTTATGCCAGGTGAATTTGTGTGAATTGGGGGCCTATAGCTGCCATCATGCAGCTGTAGGCCCCCATGCAGGAGAGTGGTTCAGGCAGTGCTAGGATGGCTCCTTTGGCCATCCAGTACCTTGCCATGTTGACTATTAAAAGTCTTGACATGTGGTGTTGGAGGGACCATTTTGGAGCTGGCTTCCAAGGCAGTAGCCCACCCTGATCTTTCCACACATTGCCTTTGAAGGAAAATGGATGAATGTTCTTGTCATTTGTCTTTTCCTGAAACGTGCCTGCATGTGTGATCCTAGCTGACCAGTCAATGCCCAAAAATCTCCCCTATGCTGTCTGTCTGTGATGGCTAATTGCCCTCTTTAAAGATGCAGAAAGAATTAGGTGGCTGGAGACAGTGTCTGCAGAAGGTCTGGAGATGGTTTCTCTTCTATGGGAGTGTAGTGCAGGGCATGAGGACTGGAGCAGAGTGTCTGGTTTATCACCACTAGTCCTCCTCTAGTGATATTTCCTCTTCCTTGTATTTTGCTGAACAGAGCTGTGCCACCGGCATCTTTCCCCTCCACTATTCTCTCCTTGTTGCCTACCTTTATGCCAGGTGAAACCCTGCAAATGGTGGCACTGGGCAGGCCTGTGCCCCTCTTGCCTTTGCCTGTGACAGGAAAGTGAGTCATGCTTGAGATGGCTCATTCTCACTTTCCTGCTACCCTATTAATACCAAAGCCTCTTGGGATGCCTGGTGATGTTGGGGTGCTCCTGCACTCTGGACCATGAATGGTGTGAGGGAAATGAAGCCCTGGTGTGGCTGTTTCTTGTTTCCATGTCTGTGAGCACCTGTTCTAGAAGGTTAATGAGTTGTTGCTTTGCCTTTCACAGGGCCCAGCCGGGTTCTTGATCTCGAGGCAGAATCCATTGGTGTGACTAATGTCACCTTAAAATGGGTGGTGAATGACAGCGCTTCTGACACCTACACATACAGGATAGAGGTTGTAAATGGTACAAATGGTACTGTGAAGAACTTGCTGTCCAATGCAACCAAGGCAGAAATTACTGAGTTAATCCCTGGGACACCGTACAGCTTCACAGTATTTGCTGTAGCAGCTGATAAAAAAACAGAAGGAGAAGGAGTGTCCATATTCCTGTATACAAGTAAGTCACTGTTTCCTGCATGGCTGTGGTGGTCTGTGCTTTGCGGTGCACCACAGGGCTCTACCCACCTGCACATGGCCTGAAATTTAAAAGTGTTGCTGGCAGAGTTGCTGTGCTTTGCCTACCTGCAGTCTAAGATATTTGTGTGAAAGAGACATAGCCTTCTTTGAAAAACCAGAGTAAAAACAAACAATTCTAAAACAATGATTGTTTAAGTTGATTACCTAGGCCTGTGTCACAGTGGACTCTTCCCAAGAACTTTCTCTCTGGCCTGGGATATTTGTGGGTGCATCTGTTGCCTTCACTTCTTGGAGGATTGGGGCATTAGAACATTCTTTTAAGCGTTCCCATATAGTCATACTGTAATCTGGGGCCGTGTTGCTGGTGCAGAATGAACTGTAGATAGCACTGGCTCAAGAGTGCATTCATGGCACGACTTATGCAAGCTGCTCCTTTGCCACCTTTCATCACCTCTGTTCCTATTTCAATGGTATTTGAAGTTCCTTACCTTTTGTTGTACACATATGGACCCCCTCCTTGTATCTTTCCTGACCAACATCTCTGAATTTCTGAGCAAAATCCTAGGAGCTGTGGCATGGTAATGATGTGTTCTGCTTTAGAGTGTCAAAGGGAGGTAAATGCAACTCAAGGTTACGTTCCATCAGTTCTGTCTTAGCTCCCCAGTGGTGCAACAGCCTCCAGAAATGCCTGGTGATGTTGTTGGGGTGCTCCTGCACTCTGGACCATGAGTGGTGTGAGGGAAGTGAAGCCCTGGTGTGGCTGTGTTTCTTGTTTCCATGTCTGTGAGCAGCTGTTCTTGCAGGTTAATGAGTTGTTGCTTTGCCTTTCACAGGGCCCAGCCGGGTTCTTGATCTCGAGGCAGAATCCATTGGTGTGACTAATGTCACCTTAAAATGGGTGGTGAATGACAGCGCTTCTGACACCTACACATACAGGATAGAGGTTGTAAATGGTACATTTGTGGAGAGCCTGACATCCAATGAAACCAGAGCAGAAATTACTGAGTTAATCCCTGGGACACCGTACAGCTTCACAGTATTTGCTGTAGCAGCTGATAAAAAAACAGAAGGAGAAGGAGTGTCCATATTGCTGGATACATGTAAGTCATGGTTTCTCACATCCTTGTTCCTAGTGGCCTGTGCTTTGCTGTGCAGGCCAGGGCTCTGCCCACCTGCCCCAGGTTTGAAATACAATATTATGTTTGGCAGACGTGCTGCACACAGCCTACCTGGACTCAGCAATAGCAGTGTGTGGAAGGGGGGTCTGTGCAGGGGATTTTGTTGCTCTCTCTTTCCTCTGGGTGAAGCCCTCAGATTCTCATTTGGAAGGCCTCCCACAGAGTGTGCATCATGTCTGGGGAACTTGCCCCTTTGGAGGGCCCATGGATGCAGCCGATCTTGGGCAGCACGGGATGGTGTGGCTGTCAGCCCTGCTGCTTTTAGGAGAAGGCTGAGCTATTTCTGCATTCCTCATGTTAGGCATTGTGACTTTTCCTCCTTGTTGTGTTCATGTACTGCCTTGTCTTTTCCTTTCTTTTATCCCATTTTGACTGAGGTGAAGTGAATCTGGCTCAGAGCTCCTGAGTAGGTTTTCCAAAGGGGATCTGGGATGAACTTGCAGAGTTGCTGGTACTGTCAAAGTGCTGCTTGGCTGAGTTTCTGGAGTCTTCTAGAGACTTTCACAGAGCCCAGCATTTTTTTTCTTAGCAGAGTGGAGTGTGCTGGCCTCTGACATTTCCCATGGATCACTGATGGTACTTCATCTAACTGTTCCTACAGGATAGAGGTCAAAAGTCATGACTCCTCTAGAAACCAGGCATCCATTGTCACCAAGTGTCAGAGGTGTTCCAGGGCTTGTCTGTAATCTCCTGTAATTTCACCGTATTTGTAGGAGTAGCCAACAGTGTTACTGAAGAAAAATAAATATTTATAAATTGCAGTAGAAGTAAGTCCCAGTCACTCACATCTATTTTTACTAAATCTCTTTCTTCTGGTTCACAATTGTGCTTTTCCTTAGTTTCTTAAAATAATACCCCTTCTAACAACAAAATAATTTAATAGATGAGTCTATTTGAAAGTACCCTGTATTTGAAAGTACCAAATACTTCCTTACCAAGAGAGAAAATAAATTTGGTGTGTATTGTAATTGTAGGTTTATAAGTGTTTTGGTCCTGAAGGACAAGTTTCACAAGATGTTTAGTTTAGGGGAACCTTTCTTCCCAGTCTTCCTGCTACATTACTTTTTAAGTATCTTTCTGTATCTGGTCATAAGGTTGCAATTTTTATACCATGTCCTAGAAGACTCTCAGTCAAACTGACTTGATATAGTTCCTGCTTTTAAAGACGGCTACTGCTGTGCTCTTAATGGACAGAGATTAAACTAATTTTCTTATTGCTGGCCAGTAAGAGTTTTACAGTAATTATAGAGGGATTTGGTGGCAGTGACTCTAAAAATGTTCTTAGAGTAATATGCTAAAGGGTTGAACAGTATTTTGAAAATGTTGGTGATCTTGATAGATACTCTGCCTAAATTTTCTCAGTAACCCTGTCTGTAGAGGAGGTAAAGAACACAGAATAGGTCTGTGTATTGTGTTAAATAGTTGTCTTCCTCATAAGGTAACAAGTCCTTGTGTAGGTAGTAAGTGCCACGTAGGCATCTTTTTAAAAGGGGAAGGGAATACTGAAGTTTTACAAGCATTTATACACATAACATACAAATACACAGCTTTTCTAAGGGCAAGGCTTGGTTTCTTACTCCTCCTTTTTTGTTATTCTTTTTTTCTTTTGGCAGTAACTGTCTCAGTGGATTCACTTCAGTGTGAGCCAGTGGCCAAGCAGCCTTTCCTAATGCTGAAGTGGAAATGTCCTTATGGTAACAACTCTGGCTTCAGAATCAAAATATATAATATAAGTACTTCTGAGGTAGTAAGAGAAGAATCAGCTTCACGCTGCACAGTTGAAGGCTCTGAGCAAACCTTCCAAACACCACGTTTAAATTTTTTCAGCACTTATAATGTTGCTATCATAACACTTTCAAATGGCTCTGAAAGCTCTCCAGTGGACAAGTTGTGTCACACCAGCATTACTGGTAAGCATTAAGATCTGAGAATAAAAAGATTCTTGTAGGACAAAAATATTAACATCATTATTGCAGAATACCAGACTTGGTATGTACTACATGGTCAGCCTGCAGGGTATTAAGAGAACACTATATTAATTCATAGTCTAATGTGATGCACAATAAATACGCATTATGTGAACAGTGTTGCTATCACAGCCTTTTCTTGTTTGGAAAACTTTTATCAGTGTCTAATATACTAAAAAATGTTTTTGTTGGCAGACCCACCTCCTCCAACTGAAGTTCCTTCAGTCAAGGTCGTCAGTCACAGCTCGTTGTCTGTTGAATTCTCTGATTTTGATTCACTGAATGGTCCATTGGAAGCCTATGCAATAATGATTACAACAGAAGACCAAAGTAAGATGTTTATGATATTGTCATGTAGCTGAAACAATTTACCAGGCAGCATCATGTTTTACACTCTGAATAGGTGTTAAACAGATAAAGAAAAGGCAGACTGAGAATTTTCAATCACTTTTCAGAAATCACGAGGCAGGTACCTTGCTTGAAGTCAGGTCACTCCTTGTTTTCAGAAGGTGCCTGTTTTCACTCAGTGGCACCTGTTTTCCTGCCTGACTTATCTTTGTAGATAAATCTCTTGTGTATTGCCCTTGTGCTGTTGCCACCTTGATTTGCCAGTGATTCCTTTCCCCAAGATTGTGTAGTGTCCTTTCTTTCCCCACAGAATATTTTTCAGACCAGCTAGTAGAAGCAGCTTTGGAATATGAAATGTTTTCCCCCTTTCCTCTTCAGCTGAAAGATTCCTGCAGCAAGGTCGTAAAAGGAAAAGAGCTTTTTTTCCTGATTATACCGAAAACACTTTTAACTAAGAGAGGTGGGATGTGGGTGGAAGGCTTAAATATCATTGACAGCATTAATGGAAGTTAAATTCCGTGGAAAACTAGAGAACTGAGAAATGTCTCTGATAGGTGAATGTTTAGTGATAAAACACTAAATTAAGGAACTTAGTTTTGCAGCATAGGTTCTACTTGAAAAACTGTTCATTTTTGCCAGTGCACAGGAGGAATAAGGCACCTGATGGAGACAGTTTCTGCTAAGTGGGAGTTGACATTCATGCTTATCCTTTGTTACAACACTGGAAATTCACTTTGCAGAATTTTGATTCCAGATCTTCCTTCAGTGGTTTTCCATGCAATATACATCCAAGAAATGTATGTTTGTGTGGGTATATATGTGTATATATATATAACACATCACATCAGTGCAGAAAATTCCTGTTTTTCACATGCCTACTCAGCTGCCCCAGAATTGCTGATTTGAATGCCAGTCTCTTGCCTGCAGCTCTGCTTGTAACTTCAACCAGTCCTGGTTAGTCACAAGATCTGGTGTATTCTTCTGTGTGGTTTAGATTGGAAGGTATTCAAGGAGGAATTTGTAGGATGTGACTGAGAGAAATAAGGGAGGAAGGTTGCCCACATCTGTAATTTACAGTGGGTCCTTTGATGGGAGCAGAAGACAAGCATCTCTTCAGCTTTATTGCTGAAATAGCACAAATATTCTTGAGATATGTTTCTCTGTTCTAAACCAGTCATGGTTATCTTTAGGATAGACAGAGAGGACTTTATTCTGTTGTGTAAGAAATACACAATGCTTTATTCTGTTTAAGGCTGTTTGAAATGTCGTAGGGTGGTATTCAAGGCATCTAGAAGGAGCTGCAGGTATAACCAGGTATGTACATCCTGTTGGACTTGAAACTAGGGACAAGACAGGACATAACACGTCTCAGGTAGTATTAAACACCCATTTCTGTGCTGCTAAGTTATTTGCAACCTCATCTGCTTTTAATGAGACCAAGTTAGTGCTCTGGAAGAGTTACCTTGCACCCTGTTGCTGCAGAGTCACAGTTGAGGAGAGCTTTGCTGCTGGTGGTAGATCATTCCTTGTCTGCACAGCTCTAGAAAACTTACCAAAGCTTTTCCGCCTTTCAGAGCCTCCTGCAAGGCTTCTCCTTTTTAAAGGTGAATTCAGTGTGATACCCACCTTTAGAAGGGCCTTTTAGCTTTGTAAAGGCAGTCAATAGAGAGCAAACTTCTGTCAAATGAGTGAGATTGTTTGTCCTGCCTCAGCACTGGGAATAATGTGTCAGTTGGCTTGCTCTTGAGTTGTTGGGACAGCTGCTAAGTTGAGTTTATTATTACCTCTTAGGTTACATGTTCCTCGACTGTATAATTGCCTTAAGGTTCTAGGGTTTGTCTGCTATAAGAACAGACACTGTGAAGTGGTGCTGTTCTGCAAATGGTGTCCTGTTGGTCACTGTGGTAGCCTGTTCTTAACCTTCTGAAGGGGAAATTGTTCTCATCATTGTTTTGTCCAGTGCTTGTCTATGTCAAGGAAAGGCAGAAATTACTTCTTTCATCTCTTACAGTTGAGGTGTGAGACTTCTTGTAGGATAGAACAAGGAACAAGTTCAGGTCAAGTTTAGTGTCACCCTGAGTGAGGCCTGATGCTGTTTGGGTAGCACAAATACTGATGGACTTTTTTCTACAACATTTGCATTTTACTCTCTACATACAGGAATGGATAGAACACATATGGATAAAGCTGACTTGGCTGGTGAAGTCTGTCTGTCCACAAGGGTGCCTGGTTCCCGCACTCATGTACCTTTATTCAGAAGCTCCTACACACTCTAGAAGTAAAACCAATAGCAAATTAAAACAAATAACACTGGGGAGAGGTGGTGCAGTAGATTGCACTGCAGTAGAAGAGGTTTCTGAGATTATCTGTAGCTCTCAGCCTTTCATTTCAAGCATTACTTGTGGAGGAATGACATCTGTAGTTAATATGACCAGCTCAGCCACTGTGCCAATTGCTACAAAACCAGGGGATGAATTATATCCATGTTCTTGTTGTTTCCTGAAGGTTCTGAGTCTTTGAAGTCTAAATTGAACAACACATACAGAGATTTCAAGAAGAAGACAACAACTGCTTATGTTACATATGTTATAAAAACAGAGCAGTCAGAATCACATTCTTCCCGTTCTCAGAGTGATAAAAACATCATTAATGTAGGCAAGGGAAACACAATGTATGGCTACGAAAATGGACCATTGATCCCTCTTCGTTCATACAGGTATTTATTTCAAACCATTCTTTTGTTAAGTTTTCTGCTGTTGAAATCTAGAAGATCTGTAATCTTTCCATTAGATGAGCTTGTTAAAGGCTGTTAAAACCCTGTAATGTACATGGTTTTGTTTTTTTCTTATTCCTTCCTTTTCAACAGGGCATGTGTTGCAGGTTTTACTAATATAACCTTTACGGACGATGTAATTGAGGGGGAAGATAGTTACGTATCATTTTCACCCTGTTCTGAACCAGTCTTACTGCCCCAGGATCCAGGTATAGTTAATGTCAAATATAGGACTGGTGGCTTGGCACATGCACAGTGTGGAGATTCCTTAATTATGGCAAGTTTCTTAATATCAGAACACCCGTTGGTTTCTCTGTATGAACTGTTTCTAGCTTTGCAGTGGCACTGCTCTGTACATTCATACCTTACTAGTTCTGCAGGTAATCCCTTTTTTCCATGTAGGATTCCACTGCAGGAGTAGTCAAAAGCCATGGCATGCTAAAAGGGACTGGATGACACAGTGAGACTTTTGTGTAGTAACAAGAGGCAAATAGCAACTGATGGTCTCACAGTACTGTTAAACTAGAAGCAGGTATATTGAAATGCAGATACTGGTGCTTTGATCCCAATTTTATGTTAATTTAACATTCTCTGGTTATTATTCTTAATGAGATTTCCATACTGGTACTGCCAAAGGACAGTAAAGACAAGATATTTTAGTAGAGTGAAGCATGCTTGGTTAGTCAGTTGCAAGGTTCTGCTGTAGGATGTTGATTCAGTTGGAAGTTACTGAAGAGGACAATGAGTAATACTTTTTCTCTTTTATCAGGTGTTATTGCTGGAGTGGTTATTGGATGCCTCTTGGCTATCTTGGCTGTAGTCGCTGTAGGGGGATTCATATTCTGGAGGAGGAGAAGGTAATGTGTGTTTGTTGTTGCATTGGTTGTGCTCAGGAGCTCCAGTGTTTCACTTCAGGGTTTTTCTCCTGTCATGATACATGGCTATCAAGATGTTTTAAAATATGTTGTATTAAAATGTTGTCTGTATGTTACAGATTAGAATTGAAGTATCAAACCACTTGTTTAATAACTTTGTTTAAGCCCATAGTTACAAACTAATGAGTTGAGAAGAGCTAAACAAAATAAATTTTAATTCATAGAACATAGAATTATAGAATCATAGAATGTCTTGGGTTGGAAGGGACCTTCAAGATCATCCAGTTCCAACCACCCTGCCCATGGGCAGGGATACCTCCCACTGCCCCAGGTTGCTCAGAGCTTCTTTCCAGTCTGGCCTTGAACACTGCCAGAAATGGGGCATCCACAGCTTCTCTGGGCAACCTGTGCCAGTGCCTTACCATTCATGAATAGTGATGAAGTCATTCTATCACAAGTGAGCAAACATCTCAAATTATTGTGCAAAAAGTAATTGGGTGTAATTTTACCTTAGATGGTTTGATTTTAAATTATCCATCAGTCATTCTTTTTAATTGCTTAATGACCTGTCATGTGAAACTTCTATTGTGGAATTTCCACAATAAAAGCTGATGAGTTTCAGCTGGTCTCAGTTTTTAACCTTGTTCATATCATCTGGGATGTAAAAGTGCACAAAGGCTTTTCCTGCTTCTGACCATCCTTTATGTGGAGTTAGCCATAGGGCCCTTAGTCCAGTTTTCTTAGTTGCTTTAAGTAACTGTTGTTATTTTTACAGTTGTGTCCAATAGCTGTGTACAGCCTTGGGAAGAGTTTTCTTTAAAGCTAGCAACATTTCTTTTCATTCAGCTGCCACTGAATGACTGACACTTCACTGTTGAGCACTTCCTGTAGGGATTCTGGGATTAGCAGCAGTTCTCCTCCTAAAGTATCAGCTATTGGTGCAGATCCCTCACTTGTACATCTTCCACCAAAATATGTGCTTTGTGTTCAGGCTTTATACTCTGGTTCCAACAGAAAGAAGCAGTCCCATTGCACAACATCACTAAAAGAAGGGTGAAGTTCTTTTGGTTTTTGTTCTTTTTGTTTTTATTCCTGGTGTAAAAGTTTGCCTCAGGAGTTTGGGGGTTTTTTCACAGAATAAGATACTTTAAAAGAAATTGTTCTCAATGGGCACAAGGAAACAGATAGGAAATCTCATATAAATTCCATTGAATTCTACTGTAAATCTGTGTTGTTTTCTTTTACCTTATAGGAAAGATAAAAGAAATACTGAAGTGTCTTTTTCTCCAATTAAGTAAGTCCATATATTTTCTTCTGGTATTTTCTGAGCTCAAGTGATATTTGCAAAAATTACTCAGAACTCAGATACTTGTTTTCTGTGCAGTTTTATAGAGAACGTTGAAGTATTAATTCCTCATGGAACTGAAGGATGCCAGCATGCAGACTAAAAATAATCATGTTGATTAAGACTTCTAGAGCTACCACAGGGATTTGAGTGTTCACTTCATGAATCACTATTAGACACACAAATGCTCCACATGGTTTTGAAAAACAGGGTTTGAATGAAACACAGACTTCATGCACAATCAGAATTGTTGATAAAATGCAAAAAGGCAAAATATGTTCTGTGATCTGAATTTTTATTTTTTTAATGACTTTGTGCTGAGCCATTCATCCAGATAATGTTGTGATTGTAAAAGCTGGCCATGGAGGGAGTAACCACAATATATTGGAAGTCACAGGCACTGCAACTGAATCGTGTTATTGGTTCTGGCACCAATTTATGTGCTGATGGAAAGCCATGGCCAGAACATCCCATGGAATACCACCTCTGTAGGCTTGATGATTGGCATAAAATACACCAGGGAATGGGGTCAATCCAGTGGGAGTAAGCAGCTGGCTGACACCTTGCGTGATGTTCCTCTCCTGAAGGATGCACTGTTCTCTCCTTGATTTAACAGAGCAGTTAAATGCTATGCTTGATACCCTGTCCCCTGTAAATGCACTGTTTTGTGGCTGCAACTAACAGTCATGCTTTCAGTCTTAGATTCACATAATGAAAAATACAACTGCATGTGTCTAATCAGCTTTTTTTTCTTTCCCTCACCTCTCCTGAAGAATCAAGAAGTAAGTAAAGCATACTTTCTAACACATTAACTAAATTAATTCACGGCTTATTTACCTAACACCAGTTGCTGACATGTGGCTTTTCTTATTTTAGATCAAAAATGATTAAAGTGGAGAACTTTGAGTCATACTTTAAGAAGCAGCAAGCTGACTCCAACTGTGGTTTTGCTGAAGAGTATGAGGTATGTGCCCTCAGTGGGGAGAGAGCTTCATGACAAATATTTTTGGAAAGACAAATCATCTTTCCTAGGGAGCATGCACAAGGCTTACTGAAGGAGAAAGAAGGGTCCTTTTTTATAGAAATGATTAAGCTGTGTGTATAACCTTCCCTTCCCTTATACAGCTCTGAATTTAGTTGAAGTGCATGATAAATACTTCCTGCCCTGAATTATTATCTCTGATTGTGGGCTTGTCGTATGGCCTGCTTATCAGAGCTCTGACCGTCTTTGACCCTAGTCATATGCAGACTTAGCCTATTACAGAATTTCTCTGTACTTCAGTTTTCTCATCTTGGGTTGTTTTGGGGATTTTCTTACACGTATCAAGACAGGTCTGTTGCTAATCTCACTGACTTCTTCAGTGCATGGGTGTGATTTGCAAACCACACCTGTGAATAGCTCAGTCAGAGAAACAGCAATTATGATTTGCTTACTGACCTTAAGAGTTTTTCTATGAAACATGCTAAAGTTCACTTGCTGTAAGGAACAAAGGACAGGAAGGAAGTGTCAGGGAGGATTCTGTGTTGTCATGTCTGCTGTTAAAGAATCTCATTCCATTTCTCATCTCCGTAAAGCTATTAATTGATTTTCTTCTTCAAATTCTGTCTCTTTGTATTTCACAGGCTGGTGCTCCACCTTGCCTTCCTCTCAGATTTTGCTTCCTTCAGTTGTTCATTATGTGTTTGCTCCTTTCTCCCTGTAATGTCTGTGGAATTTATGCAGTAGTTCCCTGCCTTGGGGCCAGAAGGAGCTGCAATTAGTATCAGTGTCTGTTTCCACAAAACTGTTTCCAGGCTTTTGAAGTCCATCTGTGGGTTTTAAACATGTTGCTATTCCTATATTCTGTATTAATCCCTTCTCTAAAAGATTTGCCACTGTCACCCTTCCACTCTGTAACAAGATGATTTTTATTGACATTTATTCCAGTTTAACATGCCTACTTTTACAGCACAGGACACAAGTTTGGACTACTTTTTCTGTTTGTCACATTTCTGTATGACTGCTAAACCGGAACCAGGTGCTCATGAATCCTGCTTTTATTGTAGGAACTCAAGTCTGCTGGTGTTCATCAGCCCAAATTTGCTGCTGAACTTCCTGAGAACAGGGGGAAAAATAGATACAACAACGTCTTACCATGTGAGTTATTCTCTTTGGGTTTGCATCTTGTACTGGTTGAGTTTTTAAGTGAAAGCCGTTGGGTTTGGCTAATCCAGCTTTAATAGTACCCAGATGTTTCAAATATCATTTTCCAAATGAATGAATTTGAGCTGCTGCTTTCCCAAAGTCACTGTATAAACACACCTGAAAGAGCCTTCCCTCAAGGATATTTCTTCAGAAAGCTTCTTTAAAGAACTTTCTCGTAACGAAATAACTTTAATATTCCATTTGTGAGAAATGTGCAATCCAGGTTGAAGACACAAGAGGTTAACAGTTAACCACAGACAAATAAATTTGCAAGCTATGAGAAATATTAAGACCCTGCTGGCCAGCTTTGCAGATCGAGTAAGAGTAAGCTCTGTCAAGCTGTCTGTGGGCATCCCAATGTAGCAGAGAGTCAGAAGTAATTGAAGAGTGAACAGTGACAGGTACTTAAGGATGCTTTGGAGGAAAAACATCAGCTGCTGTGGCAGCAGGAGACAATTTTTTTTCTCTAGTAATTAAAACAGTAGTAAATATTGTGTTAGATTAAAATATATAAATATATAATATATTTAAACATTTAATATCTAACCATGTTTAAACCCAAAATAATCTATGTTTCTTGAGTGATTATCCTGACCGCTCCTATTTCTGAAGGCTACTGTTGTTTGATTCCTAAGGTTATATTCTTAAAATGCACATTGAACACTTTTTGTTTAGAAACCATGTATTAGATAAACAATATTTTTCTGAAAGGTTCCAGTTAGAAAATTCATATTTGTCTTATCCATTTTTCTTTCTGCAGATGATATTTCTCGTGTTAAACTTTCAAATCAAAGCTCTGGAGCTGACTATATTAACGCAAACTATATGCCTGTAAGTTGCTTCATTAGCTGACATGAAATATAATGTGTATTTTTCTGATGTAGGCATAAGGGCTCATAATGATGTTTAAAAGAAGCTTTTATTTCTCACTGATGATATGTGTGTGTGTATATATACACATTTATTTTGTTTTTTTTCTTAGGGTTATAATTCAAAGAAGGCATTTATTGCTGCACAGGGTCCATTACCCAATACCATAGAAGACTTCTGGCAAATGATTTGGGAAAAGAGTATCTACTCTATTGTTATGTTGACAAAATGCGTGGAACAAGCCCGGGTATGTTGTTATCAATACTGAATTGTCTCTTGAAGGCAGCTGCATCTCTTTAATTTCTGTTGTTACCTTAGTGGTTTGGAGACTGGCCACTGTCTTTTAACAACCATCTTCTTGGTGGAAGACTCTTTTCTAAATTTAAAAAAGCACAATTATTTTGGTGGGTTTTTTTTTTTAAGCTTTTCCTATTTTTATATCTCCTGACTCCCAGCATAGATTGTCTCAGGAGGGTTGTGGAATCACTGTCATTACGGGTGGGTTCTTCTCTTCTCTCTAAAGAATTATTTTGGTAGATGTTCTCTTGCCCTGGAATAGCCTTGAGAAGAGTGACATGCTTTTTAGCCCTGCTTCAGGTGGTGGGTTATTTAAAAGTGAGTTGTTTCATTGTTGTGTGTGACGTGTCTAACTTTGTAACTCTCTTCTTAGACAAAATGTGAGCAGTACTGGCCAGACAAACAACCTAAGAGCTATGGTGACATTATTGTGACAATGGTCTCAGAAGTTGTCCTTCCAGAATGGACAATAAGGGACTTCACTGTAGAAAAGGTGAGGACTGCCTTTATTGTTGGTTGTTAGCATGTAAATAACCTTGTGCTTATGCAGATACGTGTAATATCTTCTGGACTAAACAATTAGCCCCATCAGTAAATACAATGCAGTAGATATGAACTTGGAGTAAAGTACAAGGAAATTATTTCAAAGTATTCTCTACCACAGCAGAAGGAAGAGGGAAACTGGAAAATTATTGAAATCACTGCAGTTGTAACAGGCATCTTTGATGAAGTGGAGGTTGGCCCAGTACACGTGCCAGGAAGCACAACTGTCACTCCTCTCAAGCCAGTTTTCCTTGTCTTTTTTGTTAGTTTTTTTAATGTCTCCTCTTCCTGCAGTCCAACACCCCCGAGAGCCACACAGTGCGCCAGTTCCATTTCACCTCCTGGCCGGATCACGGCGTGCCAGAGACAACAGACCTTCTCATCAACTTCAGGCACCTTGTCCATGAGTACAACAGCCAGAATCCAGTGGACTCGCCTACTCTGGTGCACTGCAGGTAGGAAGAAGGTGTTTCTGTTAGGCACACTTTTGTCTTGTGTTTTTTTTACAGTCAATTCCATTTCAGTGGGATTAAAACCAAAGTAAGTCTCTCTGTGTAAGGACATGAGCTGTTCACTTTACCAAACTAAAACCTTTGCCTGGTGCTTCAGAAACTAACAGTGCTGTGTAGGTAGCAAAGGAAGTGATACAAAATGTTGTAAGAACAGAGCATCTCTCCTAACCTGGAAAACTGAGCTGGAAAACACGTCCTTTTTAGAGCTTGTGTATATAATCCTGTGCATGAGCAAGGCTGAGAAGCCCCTCTTGGTGGTGGTAAGAGCCACACCTCCTGTGCTGCCAAGACTTTTATTACCCATGCCACTGAAATAGTTGGAGGCATCATCCTGGCTTGCCTGGCTTTTTGTCAGGCCAGCAGTGAGCAGGTGGTTGGGAGGAAGCACAAACAGCCTGTCTGTGTCCTTGCAGCGCTGGCGTCGGGAGGACGGGGACGTTCATCGCCATCGACCGCCTGATCCAGCAGATGGAGATGGAGAACACCGTGGACGTGTACGGAGTGGTGTACGACCTCCGCATGCACCGACCCCTCATGGTGCAGACTGAGGTGAGGCTCTCTCCCATCCAGCAGCACCTTTCTCAGCTGTGCATAATCCTCCAGATGTAGCTCTGAGTTACGGGACAAGAAGATACTAAGGAGTTACAACTGCTCTTCATTTACCTTCTCTGCTTCCTGCCTCATCTCTTCTCCACAAAAGTAGTTGCAGCCAGGGACTGTAGTACACCCAAGCAATGTCTTTACAGAATACTTTGTAGGACTGGCATTTGCAGCTGGAAGGAATCAAATCCTGAAGCAGACTTTTTTGCAGGCTAGTTTTACCCATGGAGGGGGGGGCAGGGTTATCCTTTAGTTGTGAGCCAGAATTATCTGGAGTCAAATGGTCTTGGTGGCATCTTTGCTTTTGTGTCCTGCAGGAATACAAGTACTCCTACAGAAATTACCACTTTGATCCAGAAAGGTGTATGGACTAACTCAAGCTGATTTGAAAAACGCTGTAAAGTCTCCATCATGAAAGTCTTAGTATCCTAAGTGTTAGGCACGACAGATCCTAGGTCTAGACAGCAAAACTGGATCCTAATTTTTTTTTATGTGGGGGGGGAGGGGATGGCATTGATCAGATGACATCATGAGGTCCTTTCCAGCACTGTTTTTTATAAACTATATGTCACAGCATATGTCACAGTCGAGATGGCCATGATACACAGAGTATCACCATACAATTTCAGAACCCATACAGAGTAACACCAGACCACTTCAGAAGGCTGCAAGTATCTGCCCTTCTTGTTCTTTAGCCTAGCCTTTTATACCCCTCATGTTCATGCATTGCACCTGTGTGCCCTCTGTTCTGATCCCTTTGGTGACTGGTCAGTAACAGCTCAGCACTCCATGTCTCATTGCTTTCAATGCTGTTCACCTGCTTTTCACAGCTGTAGCCTGTTGGGGATGAAGCTCGCAGCAGCTCCACTCCTAATTACCACAAACTCTGTGCCTACGCTATATATATATGTTCTAAAACAAGCACTGTGATAACACTCAGTGCAGTGCCCAACTTATATTTAGAAGCAGAATTACTTCCAAAATCAGGTATTTTTTAGAAATGTATTTCTGTCTCCCTTTCTCCCATCAGGACCAGTACGTCTTCCTAAACCAGTGTGTCATGGACATCATTAAATCCCAGAGGGAGAGGAAAACGGACCTTATCTACCAAAACGTGACAGCAATGGCAATCTATGAAAACTTCACACCTGGGCCAGCCTTTGGGAAGGCCAATGGCTACCATGCATAGTCCAGAAGGAACCCAGTGCCTCCATCCAGGAGATGTTACCTGCCCATAGGAGAAGGAGGTGTCCGACTCGTGTTTTCTGGGATTGTGTGCAGTGTTTCATGTCTGGCTTCTCCAGTTCTGTCTGCATTCAAAGGTGTGATCTACAGGAGGAAAAACACAACACTGGCAGGAGCTGCAGACTCATGTTAAAAAAACCCAAACAACAAAACCCAAGCAAAACTTTTTAAAGTTAACAGAGGAATCTTGTTTTTTCTTGGGAATGTAACAGTACTGATAGGTGAAATAGCATTTGCAGTATGAACAGTGAACTAGAGTTTAAATATTAAAATAATAACACAAGCTTTTTATTACAATTTTATATGATTTCATTTACAGACACCAGGCTGATGGGTTGTTTTAATATATTTAATTATAAGTTTCAGGAACATATTTTATCTACTGTATCTGGTTACTTAGTTAATAGATATGTGCCTCTGTGATCTATTTTTTTTTCTGTGTTCCTTTTTATTTAACTTAGTTAATAGATATGTGCCTCTGTGATCTATTTTTTTTTTTTTTGTGTTCCTTTTTATTTAAAAAGGAGTACAAATGGCTCCTTCAAATGGACATTCATACTTGGAAATTGTGCCTTTTCTAGTTGCTACTCTAGAAAAAAAAAACAGCAGAGATTCTATTTTTGTACTGAAACTCTTAATGAGAACACAGATTTTTAAATAAGGCTTATGTCAAACTTAACTGTAGTTGCACTGTTGGCAGGACTCTCCAGAAGTTTGGAGGTGAGCTTTGTTTTTGCATTTCATCACAAATATCCCCTGCCTTAATGTTTTGGTGCCTCTGCCAGAGGAAAAGGAGTGTGGTCTGTCACTCCGAGCTTTAACTGTAGATAAAAACAGAGCAAGTGAATCTGTGAATGTGTGTGCGGGGGGTGTGTGGGCGTGTGGATGAAGGACAGAATAGCTCCTCCCTGTTCCTGCCTGATATTCCTGTTTTTATACAATTTATAATGATTTATTTAAAGGTGCAATATATGATTTACTGAATAATGCTCACTCTAATAGAGTTTTTCTCAGGTTGGTGTCTTTTTATCATTGTTGTTGTTTTTCCTCAAATATATAAATCTGTGAAAATGCTGAAACTAAGGTTCCAAGTGTTCAAGCACTCCCAAACGGATCGACTGGCTTTACTTTTCTACCAAAAGACATTGCACAAAATTCTGCTGTCAAGACAAATTTCTTGGTTGTTTTAGCCATTCAAAACTGAGACACATCTTACCTGCCTGCATCTCACTGATCCAGTGTAATTGTTTTGTGATTATTTGCAATATACTGCTGCTTTTGTTTTGACTGGTCCTTTTAGAAATTGAAGGAACAAGCAGAAATCCCCGGTTTGCTGATTTCACAAGTCAAGGATCAGATTGGATTTATTTTGCTGGTACATAACTGTTAGACTTAGGAAGGCATTACCAATGAAGGACTTAGGTAGCGTGGGATGGGGAGAAGGTGTGTTTTTTCGTCTTTGGATCGTTGCACTGGTTGCATTGTAGATGAATATGAAGTTTATGAATAATGCTATAGAATAGCTATAAAGCAGGGAAAAAATCTTATGAAGGTTTAATAACCAGAGTCCCTGGAATTCTGCTGCTTTTTTGTTGTCATTATTTTGGGGGTTTTTCTTTGTTTTAGTAGAATTGTTAGAAAAAGCTACAGATGCTAGGAGTATATGTGGCTTTACAGTGGAACCTGGCAACCTTACAGGATCCAATGTCAGCTGAAGGAGAACATAGGAATTCCTGGTGCACAACTGTAACTTTACAAATATCCTGAGGAATTTTTTACAACCTGGTGTGAAACTGTGGTGTGCTGTGTGAGCAAAACTGGAGGACAAACCACAGTGCACTTTTGGTTGTTAGGTTTTGGGGTTTGGTTTTGTTGTTTGTTTGGTTTGGTTTTTTATTTTTTTTGTAGCAGCCACTTGTGGGTTCTTGAATATAATTTTGTTCCTCTTTCTCTGGAAATATTTTAAAAAACCCTCATCTTGAGGTTCCTCATCCTGCCCAGCTCCATCCAAACTGGCAGCCCACAAAGTGGATCTCTCATTTGCATTCTTCCCAAGCTGCTGTCAGATGACAAAGATAAACCACTTGCACCAAACAGAACCATTCCAAAAGAACTGGGAGGGAGGAAAGTCTGCCCTTTCCAGTCATGTTATTTTCTTTCTCTCTTATTCTTTTAATTACTGCACATCTGTGCAGAGCACAGAGCCAGTATTTGTTATTCCAGGTCTCCCAAGAACTTGCTGCCTTAGGGTGGCAAGTGTTCTTTCGCTTCAGAAGGCCCTTGTTTTGTGTAGCTTAGAGGAGAGGGAGATGAGTCTTCCATGCTAGATCATGTTGTTTCTATTCTGTTGCAGCAGAACATCAGAGAACATGAGCTAGGACAGTATGTGTTTCTGCCTAACTACTGCCCAGATCCTCTTGCAGAAAACAGATGGATCTGTCCCATTGTTTTGGTGTTGGAAGCAGGCATCAAATTCTCACTAATGAGCATCCATTTTTAAAGAACTGTATGCAGGTGTTTTTCCAAAACTGACACATTGTGAGAAGAGACTGAAAGTTGGCATAAATGACCTTTTGATTCTGTGTACGGGTGGAAAAAGTTGGTAAGGCTTAAGCTGTTGCAAACATAAAGTTTGGTGTAGTGTCAGTGTGAATAAGTAGGACATTCCTTAGAGGATGTCTCTGCAGGAAAAGGACTACAGGTAATGCTCCACTACCTTGTGGATCTGTCTTGCTCAAGATGACTTGAATTCCTGCAAATGTTTTCTCCCTGCCCTCTGATGTTCTCTGTGTTATAGTTGCTGAGATCTGTCTCTTTGGTCAGTGTTTTCTCTCACTGTTGCTTATTTAAAGCTGTCCACTGAAAGCTCCACTGTGGGACAATTGCATCTCTTGCATTTCTGTTTAACTCTTTCTTCCCACTTGGGGCCTGCTTAAGAAGGGAAAAGTTGATGTGTTTCAAATAAGTGACTGTTGAATATCTTGAAATGATGTACAAATTTTATGTTTTCATATTTGTTGTACAGGAAATTTCAGTACATGTCTGTAATATTTTTAATGGTTTGATTTGTTCTTAAAAATATGAAAATAACAATTAAAAAGCATCATCCTAGAGCACTTTTGGTCTTCTTTTTCCTTTGTTGGGATTCTCTTTGAATCAAATTCATTTGCTAAAATACCTATTTCATTTAGAAGGGCTTTATAAATGGAAAGTGGGCTCCCATCCTCTGAGGTGACACTTGAGTCAGTTGTGTACTGCAGTCACTGGAGCTCCTTGGGACAGTATTAATCCATCATTCAGTCTTCCCTGGGAGGCCCTGGGTCTGATGTTAATGTGTCCTGGCAGTTGGTAGCTTCTCTAAAGGAAGAGCTTGATAAGGAAAGGTAAGGAAACAGGACCATCATCTAAGGTCCATCAAAGATTTCCATTCACTAAATAGCCTTGGGGAGGAGCAGTGTTTCTAAGACTTGACTGCTTCCAGAGAAACAAGAGTGAGGACTATTTAATCTCTTGAAGAAATCACATTGTCTGGAGATGGTGATCGAAGGGGATGCAGGAATAGCTTTGTGATGCAATAGTTGGTTGCTGGATTACAGACCACCTGTCTGTAGTTGCATAGAAAATTATCTCAGTTAAGCGTCTTTCTCCCAAAATTCTTAGTTGCCATTCCTGGCTGCCATCTGAATCACTCCTGAGGAGGATCACATGCCTGGAGGGTGATGCTTGCACTCAGCAGCTCTCCAGTTCATCACAGGGTGCTTACACTAAACTAACATTTTTTGATCTTCTGTGGCAACAGCTGTGTTTTCTGAAATGACTGCATGGTGAGATGGGAAAAGCCAAATGTGATTGTCTTGTCATTGTTCACTGGGATCATGGGCCAGCCACGTCATCCTGGTCCTACCCTTGTGCTATTAGAACTTCAGGAAAGCCAGCTGTTCTGGCTGCCATTTGGAGCCTTAGTCTGTTCATGTGGCTAAAGCTGAACTGAATATCTGGAAATGAGTTTGTACCTGGTCTTGTCATGTGTTAGTTTTACTGCCTTGGAGATTAAAGAGATACAGGTCAGAGAGGAGAGGATGTAAAATGTTTCTGTCCTGTTCTTGGCTTGATAAATGGGATGTATTGATGCTGCCCATGCATGCCCTTCCTGGCTGGGTGTTTATCAGGCAGCAGATGGAGTTTGGAGATGAACATGTGGGTATGTTTTTGGAAGCTTGGGAGGGAAACCTACGTGAAATCTTTGCACAGTGTGCTACTCTGAAGCAAAAAGAAAAAGCCAAGGTCTTAACAGTTCCTGGGTCTTCTGGGAAAAAACTAATTTAAAAATGCAGATGCAATCACTGTGGTCAAGGGGCTGGAATGAGGGGCAAGAAAAGATTTAACAGTCTACTTGCTTCTGAGGTGGGCAGGTACAGTGTTCTTCACTTCCTGTAGTCATCAGAGAAGTTACTGTACTTTCTTCTTTTACTGTGGCACTGCTTCAGGCAGTCCCTTTCAGCTCCTCATGTAAGACCTTGTGGTGTTGAAAAACCTCTGCCTGCAAACTGTTCCGTTTTCAGCACTTTGCAGAAGTGTTTTTGATTTTGGCACCAAACAGTGCCTCTCTCCAATCTTGTGTTTCATTCCATGTTTGCTACCCTTGGACTTGGCAAACCCCTTGCCTGTGCCAGCCTCCTGCCTGTGAGGGAGGAGGAAGCAAATGAAGCAGAAAACCTGAGTTGGAAGCACCAGGAGGAGCTGCTTCCTGCCAGCATTGTTGGCTGAAGGGAAGGAGCTGTTAGTACATCTCGCGTAGGGGAGAAGCTGGGAGCCCTTCTCAAGCTATTTCTTAGATCTGAAGAAGAACATCACAAATCCAGGCCTGTTCTTCTTCTTCCCTGTTAGCAGAATCCCATTTATTCATTCAAGTTGCTTTCCCTGGGTTTATTACGTTTTGAATTGATATACATAATTTTCTGACAGCCAGAAGCAAAGCTAGCAAATTATCCCTGAGGAAAGTGTCTAGTTTGATCCCAACTGATTACTTGAATTCACATTTTATCTCCAACTTTCCAAGTAATCAGAGAAAAGCCAGATTGTTTGGAGCAATGTTCCAAGTGTAGTGCTGATGTCTCATGGACATTCCTGGTATATTAGTAATGCTGACAGGATTTCTAGGGACACACAAGAGCTGTGTGCTGTGTGTGAGGGACAGAGTGCTCTTCACATACAGTGCCAGGTTGTTGCCCTTGTTTCACCTCAGGGCAGAATGGACAGGAAATCAAGGATCCTCTCTAAGGGATTTCTACACTTGTTTTATTTTTTTGTTTAGCAGATTTTTGATGTGATGCTTCCAGGGTCGGGAATATGCTGTCAGAAGGACAACAGGCTTTTTGATAATGGTCTAATGTCAGCTCTGATTAAGGTACGTATCTACCTAAAAGGTGA